AAACAATATCGAGCTTTAAATTATATAAGTATTGGGAAACTTCGTTAATCCAATCGTTATTTCAATTTTAATGATTGCGCCGAGTACATGCGTTACATAATTTTTCTTATCATTCTGGCGCCTTTATCTATCGCGTGGCTACTCGAATGACGGAAACCATGTCGGTGGTAGCGTATAGAAAACGATAAATTGATGACGAAACGGAACTTGAAACATTAATTATTTACTGCGTTAAATCAATATATATATATATATATATATATATATATATATATATTTTATTTATTTATTATATATGTGTATGTGAAGTCTTTGTATACTATAATAAAAAATCAAGAAAATCAAAAATTGAAAAATGTTTTAATTAATACTCTATTATGAGAAATAACAATACTTCGTAGTCGTATATACTCATATATATATAATATAATATATATATATTTTATTATATATTTTTTTCCGTCAAAAAAATATCATAATAAGTTTAAATCTTAATTACACCAATACATAATATAAAATTTGCAAAGCATAAGTTATACTTAATTATAACTTATATTACAGTATAACTATACTAATTATTATATTATATAAGTTATATTGCAAATAAAGTTTTTATAATTGTAATATATTATTGATATATCATAACTTATATAATTAGGATATATATAATATAGTTATACTATATTATATATTTTAAATTCTCAATAACAACACACCACGAGTATTTCCATGACATTTGAACTTGGTTCGCGAACAAACACGTGAAAATACTTCCGTGCAGAAGCCGCCGAGCTTAACATACATGTTAAACTGTATAAGCGAACAATTAACGAGTATTTCCTGCAAAACCTAATATCCTGGAATTCCAAGGAAGATCAGATATTGAGAGAAAGAGAGAGAGAGAAAGAGAGAGAGAGAGAAGCAGGAAGGTTTGAAATCATGGATGATCGACGATCAAAACTTCAACTTCGTTATCAACTCTATTCTTCTCTCTCTCTCTCTCTCTCTCTCTCTCTCTCTCTCTCTCTCTCTCTCTCGCTCTTCTATTTTTTTATCTCTCTTCTACTCCAAGCTTCCAATATTTACCTTTAATATTAAAAAACCCTATTTCCCTTGTACAACATTCCTTTAATGGATTTATAAAACCTATATATATGGGTTTCAAAAAATCGTTCATGATATTACGTAAGTACCATTCTCACACAACCACTCAATTTGGGTTTACGATAACCATTTATGTGTTCTAACAAAACCATTTAATTTTGACCATGAACGCGCACATATACGTTCGACCGATCAATGATACTTATCAATGTACATACCTAGAGATAAAAACAATAGACATAACAATAATGCATTTTCACACTTCACTGCTCGATTGTGAAATGTTTTTTATCATATTCATTAGGGGGCTTTTGTATTTTACGCAGGCATTTATTGGATATTTGCGTTAACAAATTTAGTTACGTATTTCTTAGTGGCGAATTTTCAAATTATCAATGAAGATATATATTGTATATATGTATGTACTTCTTTGTCGTCATTTGTTTTTGATTAGTGATATTACAATTTATATTACTTTATAAGTGTCTAGATACGAGTTAGAATATATTTTATTAAAACCAGTGATATAAAAAAAAAAAAAAGAAATTTGTGAAATATTTCATGTAACTCACATAAAACATATTTTACACAAATTGTAAAATTACAAATTTTTAAATTCCTGTCCTTTGCTTTATATTGCGATTTTTTTTAATGGTAATTTATTATTTTTTATTTAAATTATTTAAATTACCCTAAAGATGTTTAAATAGAATTTAGAATTCTTTTTACTAAAAGTGATCATATATATATATATTAAAACAAATAGAACATTTATATAAAATTTCATTTAACTCTAGTAAAAGAAACTTTACAAAAATTATAAAACTAAAAGTCTCATAACTTCTAACAATCTGAATAAAACGAAATTAGTCTCTAAAAAGTCTCGAAAGTCTCGAAAGAGCAATTGGCTTTTTTGAAATCACTTAGGAATGCTTTTGATCCGTCGCCCTGTATTTTCAAATACTTCATATATCAAATACTTCAAACTTATATTCAGCTCGGAGCTAGCTTTGTTGTAAAAAAAGAGAGGGAGAAGGGAGGAATGGAGGGCGGAGAAAGAGAGAGAGAGAGAGAGAGAGAGAGAGAGAGAGAGAAAAAAGGAAAGAAAAATGTGAGCAACCGCATGGCATGCGCTTAACTTCGCGAACAAATCGGGCTCTGAAAAGAGTTAAAAATCCATTTTCGAACACACGTCTCATTTTTCAAAAGAATTATATACATATATATACACAAACATACATACGCGCGCGCGCGCGTGCGCGCATAGATACATAAATTTATGCGTCGAATATAAAAAATAATATATTTCAACGGGAAAATTGTACCTTCGATGAAGAATAAGAATTTAAATATGTAGAGAATTTTTGTAAAATATTTTTAGTTACTAAAACGATGTGCTCGACGGTTTTAAGAGAAGAAAATGTAACGTAACTACTTACATATCGTATATACGTACATACATACATAATAGTACCGTCATCATTTATGAACACAACAAACAAAAGACACGCTTGGGATTCTACCCAGAAAATTCCTCTCCGATTTTCTTCCGCATTAAAATTTGGCTAACGAAGAATAGGTACCAACGCACACACCGGGCATTGTTTCACGTCATCGTACGTACAATTATTCCATTCGTCGGAGAAGAAAACTATTGTGTGTATTCCAACAATGTTTGAATAAATAAAATCCTCGTGTTCTTTTTTCCCATGTAAATTCGATCTTTAATTTTATTAATTAAATAATACGTAATCATTATATATCTATTAAAAAAGAGAACAAGAAATAAAAAAACAGGGGAGGGAGGAAATTAAAGCTCATTATATTTTATATTCCTTTTGACGGTAGATATTATCAATATGAAACATCCCACCATCCAATTTTATTTTACGTGTGAAATATCATATATATATATATATATATATATATATATATATCTTACATACATACACATACGTAATATATACATAAATGAGGATTTTAATTAGATCACCACCTATTCGTTGTGCACAGAATCTCAAAGCATAAGCAAAGAATTTCACTGAAATCTACAAAGGTAAAGTAAATGTATAACGTATAACAAACAACGTGATTTGTTACTACTGCTGTTACTCTACCGTCTGTCGTTCAACATTATAAAACAATTGAGAGACTTTACCAGTAAACTAGTGACGAAGAAAAGTGAGTACCTACTCGATTTAAACGCGGAGGCGTTATATAGAGGGTTACGAGCGGTCAGGAAGAGACCATCGGCCGGGATGTGAATGGCGGCGACGACGGCAATGCGTCGAGGTCACCGTGAATGCTCGTTAACAACTTCGCTTGGACGAAAGAATGCGACGTACTACAAGACGAAAGAGAGAAAGAGAAAAGATAGAGAAGGGGAGGGAAGAGAGACAATCGTTTTTTTTTACGCAGAGAAACGAGCGAGCATAAAAATATAACGGGAATGGGTGGGTCGGTAAAAAAGAGAGGGGATGGCCGCGGCCTTGACGAAAAGAGCAATCTACCGCAGTACGTGATCGGTCGATAACCAATGGCCGAATATTAAAAAAAAAAAAAAAAAAAAAAAAAAAAAAAGAAGAGAGAGAGGAAAAAATGAGACTCTTATACAGGGTGGGTGAAAAGTTCCTATAGCTGATTTAAAAAAAAATCAATTAACATTCTTCGAGATTTTGTAATATTAATATATATATTTTACTTTCTCATTAATTATTAAACTACAATCTTAACTTGTCCGGAAAAAAAAGATCACTCAATAAAGATAATTAATTTCTCAGTAAAAATAATTTATATAATAACTCAATAAAAATACTTAATTTCTAAAATCAATTAATCGTAAGTAATTTTAGCTCACCCTATATATATAGAAAAAAAGAAAGAAAGAAAAAGAAAAAATGAGTTGAAAGAAATAAAGAACACGTGTAATTCAGAGTTCGATTGGTACCGCTTGGGTGCAGCACGATGCATTTCTAATGTGACTCAGCCGATTATTCGATTCGATTTTACAGTTTGTAAAAAAAAAAGTAAATTAAAAAAACCGTAAAAAGAAAGGATTCTTCATCAGTTTCCCTTCAATAATTCTTTTGGAAAATATTATATCATTTGTGAAAGAAATTAAAAAGAAGAAATACATTTCGAGGTTAACTATACTGAAAAAGCTGGAACGCTACTTCGTGGATGGCCAATCGATAAACGTGTAGGCTAGCGCGTAGTTACGAAGTACATATATAACGAAAGAGCTTTGAATTATGTAGAATGTTGAAGTGAAAGAGATGGATATTCGTGTCGAAAGAGGAAGATATATTGTGTGTATGTGTGTGTGTGTATGATGTGTATATATATATATATATACATACATACATATATATATGTATATAGCATGAAAATATTTAAAAAAAGTTCAAATGTTTCCTATTATCTGTTCGCTACTATTTGGGTTGTGTAATAATAGATAGTTCTTAATATTTTTTCTTTTACTAAAAATTTAGTCTAACACAAGTTATATATGTATATGTGTGTGTAGATAATTTTTTGTCCGTATAAAATAGTGAGGTCCGAAAGTTCTGATACTTTGACAAAGATAGAAAAGATAATCTAATCCTTTAAGAATATATATATATATAATGTACTTTTAGAAGAGAAGCGTTGTATAAATATTAAAAATTTCATATAAGAATCGCTTATAATTACGTCAATGTTAGACGAATCGCAATCAATGAACTCGTATAAATATCCCATATATATGTATATATATTTTTTTCTATAGGATAATATATCCTAAATAAAAGAAAACAGAATATAAAACGAAATATATATATATATATAAATAATATATATAATATATATAAATATATATATATATATATATCTTCTTCGCATGTTATAAAAACGATTGGATCGAATCGGTTGATCGGTTTCAGTCGATCGTTGACCTAGAATATCAAATAGTGCGTGTCTACCGGTGTGATCGTTAATGTTATATCGGAAGAATTTCGAATGTCAAGGACATTCGTATATTAATATTAGAAAAACAGGTATAAACGATATGAAAATAAAACTTAAAAATAATAAATAAATAATAATAACAATAATAAATTAAAACAAATATATATATATGTATATAGAAAGATAATCCTATTGAAATGTTATACAAAGATCAATAACTTCAAATTGAAATAGAAATAATTCAAAATTTATAAACTCGAACAGGTGCGCGCGAAATTGGAAAGAACATTAAAGAAGAGAAAGGAAGAGGAAAGATGAGAAGTGAATTCTCATAAAAAAGAATCAAAGAATAACTTGTGTGCTTCTCTCGTAAAAAAGAGAAAAGTGTGGGTTCCGTCCTCGTGCGCTCGACTCGCCTATCCCGATTTCTCCCGGCCATATAAAGAACGAAAAGTATTCGAAAAAGAATCGAAGAAGCCTGCCAAGGAAGCAAGAACAAGAAAACGTAAAAAGAGAAGGGACTAGTAGATTGAGAGAGCAAAAGAGAGAATAATACGAGAAACAGAAATATATATGTGTATATATATATATATATATATATATATATATGTGAGCACTATTATCGAGCATCTTTCTCTATTCATGTGGACGAGTCGAAAGAATTCCGTCAACGATGGTCGACCGGACAATATGGCGCCCGCCGACGGACACACACACTCGTTCACGTATTTTTTCTTTTTACGTTCTCTCTCTCTCTTTCTCTATCTATTTATCTATCTATCTATCTATCTATCTATCTATCTATCTATTTATCTATCTATTTATCTATCTCTATCTCAATCCATCTATCTTTCTCTTTACCCAAAGTTTCGCGTGCGTCATCGACGTACCGTGCGGCAGTAGAGAAAAAGAGAAAGAGAGACTAACCCAAGTACAAACACATGTACAAAAACCTCCTCTTTATGGGGCAGCCGGTTATACGACGGATGTCGTTGAAATTCTACGTTTAGGCTAAATGACGACGATCCTTTTTCTGACAGGACCGAAGACAAACCAAACGATCAATATTTAAGAACGAAGGAACATTATAAGACACGACAGAACGATTAAATATCTAAATTCAATTTGTCGAAAAGACAAGGGCAATATCTTTGATTGGATTCGTCAGAAAGCCAAAGGCTACGGGGTTCACACGGCCATCGTTGCCGTCTCGAGCACAACTCTATTGAGACACCATATCTATTATCTCGACTTTGTTAAACTATTCTAAGAACTTAATTACTCGATTTCCTTTTTTTTACATTAAAATATATTACGAAATAATTTCTTAAGTAATTATAGCCGAAACTCACCTTTTTTATGAGTGCTCTTAGCGGCCCAGAAATTCAAGGCTTCGGCGTATTCAACGGCTACCGTCCACTACGATCTCACAGAGTGCACTGCCGTTAAGAGCGGAAACCGCCATCTTGAACTATTCGCGATTTAACCTTTCCGGTTTTTCGAATAATTTTGCGCTATTATCTTATCTAATCCTTCGTTTTTTCTTAACATTATATTAATAATGAAATAAAACTATTAATTCATTATTAATTTATAATAATAATTATATAATAGTGAAATTATATATTCCTTTCTGTTTATCAATTAAAAGTAGTTCACGTTTATTTGGTCAATGACCAATCAGACGAAGCAACGTCTTTCCATTGACCAATCATAACGTTACTACGAAGTTACATATATATTATTTCGTGCGTATATTAAATATTGATATTTTCTAGCATTTTTTTTTTTTTCCTTTTTTTTAATACTATATTTTATACTCTTTTTTAATAAAATAATTTCTAAACGAAATGAATTATTATATCTATGATTAATAACAATGAAAATAATCGTACAACAAAATAATTTATTGATCATACTCTAAATCTAACCGGGAATTTAATTTAAATGAGATTTATGAATAATTTCTTCTAAAGTCATGAAACTTTAAAAAGCTTTAAACAAATAACATACAAGTTAAATAAACATGTGAAAAAAAGAAAAGAAGAAAAAAAATAGTTATCTATTTTTATAAAAATCAAATGAATTAATTAATATTTTATATACAACTTATTTGATTTTTCTTAATATAGTCGATTAAATTTTTGTCACCAATTCTGTTGATACAGCGCCATCTTTTATATAACAATGTGCAAATGAATCCTAAAGTACATGATTCATATCTTTATAGTAATAATTATGTGACGATCGCTCGCTCCCGCCAGAGCGGCGTTGTCGTCTTTTACAATAGGAATGCAAGCAAACACTGGTACCACGGAGAGAATTCGATTAAGCATGGTAGACGTTCCCTTTTTTTTCTTGAATAATTTATTACCACGTGGTACGGCCACTGCGCTTGAGGTAAACGGTATTTGTAATCTGTGAGAGGAGTTTAACAAAATGCCGAAATCAAAAAGAGATAAAAAAAGTAATTATTTTTGAAACAATTGTGACTAATTTTTTTTGCGATTTCACCTTTTTTTCCTTTTTTTATTACCATACCTGTATTATTTATATATATATATATATATATATATATATATATATATATATATATATATATATATATAGATATACAAGTTGAATTGTAAGAAAATACAAAAAATAACAATTATTTTAATTTACAGTATCACTTACAAAAACTAACAAAAAAGGGAAATTATTGAAACAACAGATAGTAGAGGATATACGTAATTGTGCGACAAAATATAAACGTATATTTTTGATATCTGTACAAAATATGCGTAACAATAAACTGAAGGATTTACGCAATGAATTGAAGGATAGTAGATTTTTCTTTGGGAAAAATAAAGTTATAGCATTAGCCTTAGGTAGAACACCAGAGAAAGAAGTTATTGAGGGAGTAAATGTTTTATCCAATGAATTGATAGGCCAATGCGGATTATTGTTTACTAATCGTAAAACGAAAGAGGTAATTCATATTAAATTATAATAATTTTTAATATTAATTATACAATAATTACTTATATATGCTAAATATGATAGATATAATGGCATTATTATATCTAGCATGTTTAGTATAATTTTCGTATAGTGCATTTTATTAACTTCATGTAGATTGGCTGATTGGCTGTAGGTATTAGGATGGATGGAGCAATGCGAAGAACTGGATTATGCACGTTCTGGATTTGTACCAAATACATCTGTAACACTACCAGAAGGTCAAATGCCATCATTTCCACATAGTATGGAACCTTATCTGAGGCAATTAGGTATGCCAACTGCATTGCAGAAAGGAGTTGTTACATTGACGAAGCAATTTAAAGTCTGCAGGAAAGGACAACCATTGACGCCAGAACAAGCCAAAATTTTTGTAATGATTTTACTTGACATAAACTCTTAAATATCATAGAATTGTATTAACAATGTATCTATTTCAGAAACTATTAGGAAAACAGCTGGCTACATTTAAATTAATTCCATTAGGCGTTTATTCCAGTAAGCATGGATATAAAAGACTTCTACTATCAGATAATACAAAAGAAAACAATACTGAAGAAATGGAAGTTACCGATGATATTGTTACTACGTAACGTTAGTATTATAAGTACAAAAATGTAATATAAGTATATTGTATTTGAATACTTGTTGTATTAAAATTTGTACAGAATCTTACAAAAGTAGTATCATTATGCGTTGAATTTAATGAAATTAATCCTCAAAATCAAAAAACAAACTATGTGTATATATATATATATATATATATATATATATATATATATATAAATATTAAAAGATTTGAAGTGTATATCAACAAAATTAAAAAACAAAACAATTGATTGTAGAATAATGTAACTTCAACTTCGGGTCGTTAAATTTTCCAATTATGTGATTCAATGAAATTATAAAATTAAAAATAATCAAGTTTTACAACTCAATATGACGTTACCTTTTATATTTATTATATTTTGGATGTTTGGAATGATATGGGTAAAAAAAGATCCTTGCATATCTTCAATATATAACAATTTAACCTTGCAATTAATACATTTGTATATTCAGGGCGCATATCATTGGTATAACGATAACGAATCAACACGTATTGCTTCTCCTCGTAAAGCAAATTTTAAACAAAAACTAAAGAATAGAAAAAGTACAACGTCCATTGAATCCATAGATATGTCAGAAAATGAAGATTTTCCTAAATGCGTCAAACGAAAGATAAGACAAGAGGTATGTCATAAAGAAATATAATAAAAAAATTTATAAATTTAAGATTAATTATAATTTATAACAATATTGTAGAATAAAACGCGATGGCCAAGTAGAACGTCAATTAACGAGTAATAAAAGTATTTAATATTTCGCAAATTCATGTGTTACATATGTCGATAAAACATAACAAACGTATAAATAAATTATGGAGGTATAAAAATTTATAGACGTAATGGTGTGTCTGTAGCATTTATTATTTGCGACTTTTCGAGGCTACGATACATATACATACATATATATTTATATCTATATGTATTTTTTATATACGTGTATATATATATATATATATATATATATATATATATATATATATAAAAAGCAGTACACTTAGGATCATCAGCTTACGATTAGAATAATTCATTAATACTGCAGAAAATATACATAGGATATTCGAGTTGATGCTACATAATGTAAACATTATAATCAATCACTAAGAGATCCATTCTATGTATGTGAGATGCATGATCTCAGATATTTTATATCATTCTAATATAAAATCCGTAAAATGTAAGTATGTTAAAACTATTATCACAATATCAATGAAACTATAAATTCGATGAGAATAATCGCTAAATTCTGGTCAATGTCACAATGTCTATTACTTTGTAGGAAAAAGTTGTATGTGTTTCATATTACTTCTATGCAGAAAATAATAATTTAAGATTTGGTCACATGATGCACTAACTTGTGTGAAAAATACAAATAACACTATATGAATAAACGTATAACCAAAAGTAAATTTATTTGTACTTGAAATAATACGTTTAACAAAAAAAAATATATATATATATATAAAATATACTACACCAAATTCAAATTTAAAAAAACAGCTGGCTTACAAAAGTGTATGTTAACCGTGACATTAATTCTTTCTCTCTTTTTCTATTTACATTAAAAATAATTAAAGATTTAAATTACAGAATACAAATGGTATTGTCTTATTGCATATGTTAAATTATACATTCTATTAAATATTTATAAAAAAAAAGTTTATTTTTATAATCTTATGAAGATCATCGATTTAAGCTTTTTAATTCCTGCTAAATTGAATTTTTTGTAAATGAGAAGTTGTCTTGTTATTTTAATTCCTTTTTTCTTCTTTGGTCACAAAAAATTGTACTCTTGTGCACCTTACATAACTACACTACTATACTTAGTAAGAAAAACTATTTCAATGAAAGATAAAACATGTTATTTCTGATATCATATCAATGAAATGGTATCTCTTACTGATTGTAATAAAAAGCAAGAACATATAATTCATACAAAATCGAACTGCGTTGTTCCTTTTCATCTCTATCAAAATAAAATAAAAAAAAAGAATATTAAAAAAATTAAAAAAGAAAACAAAAAAATGGTTCACTTAAAAATTCCCCGTGCGTTTGAAAAACAAAGGCATAGAATGTATTATGAGAACCATTATATCTAATTGGACTTTCAAGTATATAAATAAATATAGTATGAATTTGCTTAAAAAATTGGAATTAATTCTGTGACAACGTCCTATAAAACATACATATATATATATATAGCTTACTTATCATATAAGCTTGCTACTAAAGAAGAATCTTAATTCAATTAAATTATTCCAACATAATAAAATATAACATTATCGTTTGTCATACATATGGCAATTTCACAGCACGTTAACTAAACAAATATATCGTACAAAAATAAATAATTTTTTTACTTAATATGCGAAAGAGACAAATAACAATGGATCAGTTATGTATATATGTATATATATATATATGTGCATGCATATACATATACATACATATGTGTATATATATATATATATATATATATATATATATATATATATATATATATATATGGTTTATAAATGACTCTTAATGTGCTAAATGGATATCTCTGATCAGAAAATTATTTATAGGCTGTATCTCACCGTACTACAAAAATCTAAACTAATGCTCTAGCATAATAAATATATTTATAAGCCAGTTTTTATATGAATTTATGGAACATTGATTATCATTCAAGTTGTAGCACTTCCAAGATAGATTCGCAACTACGAGCACTTTTTATGTCTTATCAATATTGCAAGCACGCAAAAAGCAAGTTATTTCGATTCTATTTAAGCAAAAAATTATGTAATCTTTTGCCAATAATTTACTGTGCACTGACTGGTGTGACAAATTCAATATTAGCAAAAGTCAAAACATATTTGTGAATGTACATATCGCTGATATATAATATTTTCACTTTTACATATTAGTGCTTTGGAATGTTGATGAATTCAAGCACAAAATATTAATTGTAAATTCACATAATCACACATACGATTGATTCTCTTAGTAATAAATATTAATTTCTAAAAAAAACGATAATATCCTTTATGACATATAAGAGTATAAGAGTAATATTTATCATGTTCTTGTATAATATCACTGAACTGCACCAGTCAAGAACACTATAGTTAAGTATAGGGTACAAATAGTAGCTAATTATAAGTGACGATAGGTTTCTTATATTACGAGCAGAATATTATTGCTCCAGTAAGAAAAGATTATTTGATTAAACCATCTGAGTCTGCATAAAATGGGCCTCAAGCTTAGGTAATTCAAGAATTGGTTCTCTCCAATATGCAAAGTTACTGAATTCATCTGCAGCTTCCTCACGCCAAGCTGGGAAGAGATGATCTACTATGACGCTCATATTTGAATATCTGCAACAAAAAAAATATTGAAGATACTACAAATATTTATATACGTATGTTTTTTTTGGTAATAAAATCCATGATATCAAAGAAAGCAGCTCGGATGAATTCCATTTTGCAATGTAAGAATATAACTGTAATGATAAATGTGCACGCAGTGATTATAATAAAACTTCTTGAATGTGTTATTTATGAGAGTGAATATCCCATATTCTTTTAAAATTTTATTAATTTGTTATTGATATTCCTAATGTTACTTTATTAAATATATTTGTTTTTTATATACTAAAAATTAAATAAAAAACAAACATACAAAAGCTATAAAACAGAATGACTATATAACTTAAAAGGAGAAGCATAATTTAAATGGTTAATAAATAATTTGTAATTATAACAATTAATATCTTGTGTTAATAGTTCAATAAAATCTCACGGAGTGTATCAAAACAGAAAAATAAACTAATAAAATAAAAAATCTAAAAAGAGATTTTCAACAATATATGAATCTTCAAAATAAATAAATATTTAGTTAAATATCAACAATTTAGATCACATTTTATAAATAATGATAAACTTATGAATTCATGAACACAATATGAACAATGTTTGCAAGAATGAAAGTTATAAAAGCTATAACAAAAAGCTACAATGTACCACAAGTGCTTACCCTAGAAATCATAAGAAGATACCAAGTGTGGCACAACCAAAATACCTTAAAATACAATGACACAATACTTCTAAATAAATAATATGATGTGTTTTCAATTTAAATATAACTGCTATTGGAAAATACTATATATATATATATTTATATTATATATATATATATATATATATATATATATATATATATTATATAACAATATTTTCTGCGTTAAACAAATATTAACAGACCTTATATCATTTTTAAATACTAATTTCTGCTTATATATTCTTATAAGAAATAATAAATAAAGTATAAAAAACTCTATATATCAGAATTTCATGCGATACTTTCCTTGGGATTTTACTAAACATAAAAGGTATATGTATAGAATATGTACCCCTACAATATATATCTATGTACTACCATTAAAATTGTATGGGTTAAGTATAATTATGATTTAAAAATGAAAATTAAGTCACTGTGCTGGTTTTCAATTGCGATAATAAGTATTGAGTTAAATGAATTCCTAAATTGATAATAAAGAAATTTACTAATATTATAAAATTCTATCTAAATGGTTGTGTCATCATCATTGGACGTTTGACCTGGGCAGTGGTGGGAACAACTCATTGACGATATCGCACTGACACGCGTAGCTGTAATCACAGAAATATCCGCCCTGTCAAAAGCCTATCAATTTTTTTTTTTTCTTTATAACATTTCATTCTTTTATTAAGTATGTCAAGGCAAACCATTATACTGTGCAAACATAAAAACATACAATTTTACGTTAATATTTTTAGCTACATATTATCACAACAGAGTTGTATATATATTGTGTTACACAAATAAGCTGTAAGAAAAAGCTAATTAACATTAAAAGGATATGAAAATTAGAAAATTTAAAGAAATTGGTTTATGGGAATTGAATATCTATCTGTGTAAACGCTAAAATTAAATGATATGGTTATTTCTTAACTAACATTCCGTTTAAAATGTATTATTAATTGATGTTATGATTTATCAATTAAGAAGTTTTTTTTAAACAAACAAATACAATTATGATATATATAATTCAGAAAAAAAAGAAAAAAAAAAAAAAAGAAAAATCATCTAATATATACTAAGAATTGCATTAATCACTGCTAGGACAAAAAATTTGTTAATAGATATAAAAAAAGAAAAAATATATATATAGTACAAACATATTACTTACGAGGATTGGAATGTTTGTGTCAATTCGTGTTTCAGTTCTCCTCTATGGTTTATGGTAAAAATTCTCATAATAGGAATGCCTACAGCTCTATACGCCCAAACATCCTGTAAAATAATATTAAAATTAATAATATAAAATTAAATGTGCTCGAAACAAGAACATATTTTATTATATTCGTAAATTCTTACATTAATACGGTTACCATAACCGGCATAGAATGGTTTAGAGCCATCTGGAAATAGTGCTTGAATATCACTGAGACAAGATATTTTAAATTCTTCCGGTTTCTTTTCAATAACTTCTCGATGGAATGCAGAAATTAAACTGGTCGGATTTAAAAGCAAAGGACCCTCAGGAAGAGATAAATCTCCTTGCCTTATACTTTTTAAATATTCTCTTGTGACTTTAGCCTGACCTATTGCTCTTGCTGAGAGATACAATAACTTATAACCATTGTTTTTAATCTTGGTAAATAATTGAGCAACTCCAGACTGAGCCCAATCCTTGCCAACTATTGGTAAAATGTGACCAAGAACGTCAGACTTTGTAATAGTGCCATCAATGTCTGATATAACAATTTTATCATCCCATCTCCATCTATAGATGTGACATTTACAACGAGTAGTACCTTGATAAGCAGTCGTAACACTGAACACTACCTCATTAGGGCCCTCTTTTAAATTCAAACTCGCCTAAAAATAAAAAAAAAAGAAGTGTTAAATTTATTTATGAAGATATTCTAAT